GCCAGCAGCGCAACATGACAGCGCCATTTGACAGTGCATGGACGGACCGGTCGGCCCAATTCTGGAGAGATCTGAAGAAGCGGGCCGACCATTCACGGTCGCGCGCGAAGCGCCCGGCATCTCTGGAATAATTGCGGTGTTACCAAGCCGCTCGCCTCAAAGCAGGCAGCCCGGCCGCTGTCCGGGACGTCGCTATGGCAGCCCTGTCTTTCTTCGGCGTCCGGAGGTGTTCCGAGATTCTCGCGCTCCGGCGTCGAGACATCTCTTTCCGCCAAAAGAGCGACCCTTTCGGACAAGGCGTGGTGTGCCACCTCCCAAATATGGTCGACACCCCCAGCCTGTGCCCTTGCCGCCTCCTGCGGGAGTGGCTGGTGCAGCGGGGCTCGCGCTGGTTCCGACCCGGATGCGCCCTTGTTTTGCGCGACTCACTTGGCGGAGCCCCGCCCCATGAGTTGCGACTCTTTCCGTCGTGATCTTTCGCAGTTCCTTCAGTCTGCCGCAGTGGGAATGCACTCGCTGCGAAATGGCGGTGCCCACTGGTGCAAGACAGTGCCTTTCTGCCGGAAGAGTTGGTGCAGTCTCAGGGCGGCTGGTCGGCCCCTGAAACCATGCGAGCATTTTACGCTCGTTTCTCAGATTCAGAGCGGTGCGATCAGCTTTTACGCGCCGTGTCTACAGCTTCGAGTGGCATGGCGGCCCCAGCCATCACTCATCACCAGGCGCGCGTTTCACTTATGCCTCTGTGGAAGCGTTTCACTGGGAGCTTGTAAAAACTCGCCTCCTCGGGGTTGCGCCTGGCCGGTGCTCCTGGCGACCGTCCCTGGGTTGCCACGGACCTGGCCAGGCCGGCCTGCAGCTCCGCGAGGCACCCCACACGAGGCATATGCTGCCAGCACAGGAGACACCGCCTTGGACTTGGAGGCAAAACAGTTCCTTCCCGACTCCTCCCCCCAGTCACGGGGCAGCGTACATTCAGAAAGCGCTTCGAGTGATGCCCATCTCCTTAGCTCTAGAGCTTCTGAAATCTAAGCAGGGGTTTGTAGGCTCAGGGGGGGCAGGTGTTAGGGGGCGGCTGGGATTTGGGCGGCGCGAGCGCGCGCTGGGCCCCCCCCCCCTCGGCCAACCTTGTGAGGGGGTGGGGCGTGCGCGCGCTCCAGTGCACCCCCCTCCTCCCCTGCATCCCCTCCCCTTTCTCTGGGAGCCTTGGTCCTCCTTCTCCTCGCCCTCTTCCTCCTCCGCCGTCCCCGCCTGGCTCAAGGGCTCAAGAGTTTCAATCAGGCGATCGCAAACATGGATCAAATGGGGACGTGCATTAGAGACGGGTTCCGTTTCAATGGGAAGTCGCTGATATCCGCCGCCGAACGAGGCGGCAACGACCGTATTTTTTGGAGGGCACCTCCCCCCGATCCATGGATTTGGTGACCGCGCGCCAAACCCATGGATCGCTAATCCATGTCTGCCCGCCCCCGATTCAAGGGGTTGATCTGTGGTGTGTGCACATCCGTCTGCCATAACCTCGCTCGTGTGCTCGCCGTGTGGGTGAGCCGTCGAGTTCTCGCCTCGCCGTGCCGCCTCAACGGTTCGGTGTGGAACGCCGCCAGCATAGTGACCAGACGGTACCTTGCGATGTTGGGGACGGTGGAAACATGCCCCATCATCACTCAAGGAGTAAGTCTTGCAGCGTGGAGCTTGTAAGTGGAACATACAAACGCACATTCGACGATGTGGCGAATCCACTTGGCGGTGTGACGGCACGCGTTCACATACTCGAGACAAGCCCTGCCATGCAACTGGCGACGTGTGGAGGGGGGGGGGGTCAATTTGACACCAGTGCACGTGCCGACCAGAAAAGGTTTGATTCGATTGATTCTCTGCAGATCGAACCAGTATTTCGTATCGGTCGTTTGTTCCTTCACGTAATGCACGGGTCGATTCGATACGATGCTGGGCATTTTAGTATCCGCCTTATCCGTTTCCTTCTTCTCCTCCCGATCCTTGCTCTTCCCCTTGATCCCTCCACTGCTTCACGATGGCCAGACGTCGCGTGCAGTTGACGTCCCTGTTGGTGATGTGCCGTGATCGTGCTTTTGGGTCGCTGCTTCTGCCCGGGCGTTACAGCGCTGCATAGCGCAGCATCGGCTCCACCCCCGATTGGAGTTGCGATTCTGCTTCGCGATCTATTTTTCGCTTGGCTCATGATGTGAAGGGCGCGTGTGCGAGCGAAGGGACTTAACTATATGTCTATGGTCGTATCGTTGCAAGCACATTCGCGGCACTTGTCGTTGTTAATGGAATTCCGTAGCAAAGAGCAAGGTACCAGCCAACGGACATCTAACACGGAGAGGACATCGAGGATGCGCTTTCTCAGAACGGTACGAACAACATGCATCTTTACGGTTTTCGCACGTTTCGACGGAGGGGGAAGGGGATTTAATCATAAGTTGCCATCTGTTCCAGTTATCAGGAGGGTATTGCCAAACACAGCGGAGCACCCACGCAG